TGGAGGTTTTCCCCGATTTATGTTATAACTTCTGTTTTAGTAAACAGCCTTTCTTCCCTTCTCATTGTTGGGTGGTAAGAAAGCATTAGCAGTGACTTGTCTGCACTGCCATCTTGTGGTGGTTTTTATATATTACACTCGGAAAACCTTATCTCCTTGCTAGCTAACCTGCAGAGTAGAAGTGGTCAGTCGGCCTCTGGCTGTGTCCTATTCCAAAAGACATTTTTTGGGAATTCTTATATTCAGAATTTTTTTGTAACAACTTAATTATAAGTCATTGTTGCACGTGTTTTTTGTTTTGTTTTTGCTCAGCCCTGTTGATCCCCATATATATATAATCATGCCAATAGATTTCTTGTTTATTAGAACTGTAAAAGTTAGCATAGTCTTGCTGTTTATTTACATAAAGCAACCGTCAGCCATGCTAACAAGTCTTTTTCTAGTTAAAGCCGAGCTAGAGCCCTTCCACCAACTGAATGAAAGGCTCTGACTCACAGGGGGCTCATCGGACCACATCAGCGCTGGACCGCTACTCTCAGGGTGTAAGCATTAGTCCTCTCTGATGTGGTCTGATGTCCTCAAAAAGCTCCCATCCTGTGAGTCAGAGCTAAAACTCTTCACTCAGCTGGCTTTGCTGCATGACAGTGGGGGACAGACTTGCATATATATATAAACTATGGCTGTGCTTTACTATCTATATGAAGAGGTGGGCAACTCTGGCCCTCCAGCTGTTGTGGAACTACAAGTCCCATGAGGCGTTGAAAGACTGACAGTTACAGGCATGACTCCCAGAGGCAGAGGTATGTTGAGATGTGTAGTTAAAGCACAGCTGGAGGGCCGGAGTTGCCCAACCCTGGTGTAAAGAACAAATGGAAAGCAGGACATTGTGTTAGAATGAGATGCAGTTAAACTCTCCAAATCCAGCCGTTTATCATTCCGTCCCCTTTCCATGTATTGTATGAACAGCTCTAGGGCTCTACAACCTGAACATCTCCGTGTCTGCTCCCACCCCTTTAAAACTACCTTGCTGATTGACAACGTACCTTACACAAAACTAGAATAAGTGAATCCCCCATGGAATCATTCTGTCAGCTGGAACACTTCCCTTCAGTTATAGATATCCTATTTGTTGTTGGTCAGGCAGCTGAAACAGAGCAGCGGTTCCTCTGCTCCCATTCCAGAAAACTCGGCGGGAGAAACACTTTGTTGATGGTTATTTTACTTTGCACACAGAAGTACATCAGTAGTGGTGCTCCATGATAACCATTTCTACATCTTCAAGGGGTGCCAGTGGGTGGATTCATAGCCTCAGATATCAATAATTTCAGATGTTGAAGTATTCCCTAGTTTGTTCATGTTAAAATGTTGCTTTCATAAAAATAGTTGGGGAGGTTTCATATTTGATTACAGCGCACATTCGCCGTGGCATCGTTTCGATAAGCTTATACAATATCACAACAGTTATTTCCGTCCAGAGTTGCATTACTTTCTCACCAAGATCTTGTAGGGATGATGGGAGTTGGACCACTGTGTAAAATCTTCTCCAGACATCCCAAAGATTCTCGATGGAGTTACGGTCTGGACTCTGTGATGGCCAATCCATGTGTGACAATGATGTCTCATGCTCCCTGAACCACTCTCACAATCTGAGCCCGATGAGTCCCGGCATTGTCATCTTGGAATATGCCCAATGCGCCATCAGGGAAGAAAAAAATCCATTGATGGAAAAACCTGATCATTCAATATATTCAGGTAGCAGCTGACCTCATTTTTTGGGCATATAACGTCACTGAACCACCTGACCAACTGAAGCAACCCCAGATCATCACACTACCCTATA